AGAATGTAGAACATTGTCTTTTTAAACTGTGTTATGCCAATTGAGCTAGATGTTCCCTGAGACCATGGTCCCCACAGCCCTCCGCCCAGCAATTCAGTTCCTCAGGGAGTTTGGATGTGTCCATGGGGCTTCCATGACCTTTCCTTGTACAAGTTGTGCTAGTTTCCCCTGTATTGTGCCATTCCAATCACTTTTAGTCTCAGGCCCTAGGTGATGGGCTTCCCAGCCTTCTTAACTGCTACGCTGTTAGAGAATACCTGTGGAGGACACTGGGTTGGAAACTACTAAGTGCAGACTTCCTTTCCTCTGAGAGGTCAGAGTCCAAATCTTGCTTTCGATCTGACCCTTCTGAGACCCCAAGTGGGCTACAGGAGTGAAAAGTTACCAGAGCCATCAGATCAGGGTTAAGAAAAACATCTGGCAGCTGTCCTAAAAAACTGATCGGTTAAGGAGGGATATCATTGCTGATGTCTGATGGATCCTGGCTGAAAGCAGAGATGTTTACCTGTTTTCTTGACTATGCAACGGCATTAGACTGTGTAGATCATATAACAAATTATGGACTTTGCCAAGAATGGGAATTCCAGAACACTTAATTGTGCTCATGAGGTATCTGTACGTAGATCAAGAGGCAGTTCGAACACAGCAAGGGGATACTGCATGGTTTAAAATCAGGAAGGATGTGCGTCAGGGGTATATCCTTTCACCATATTTATTCAATCTGTATGCTGAGCAAATAATCTGAGAAGCTGGATGATACGAAGAAGGATGTAGCATTAGGATTAGAGGAAGACTTCTTGACAACCTGTGATATGCAAATGTACAACCTTACTTGTTGAAAGTGAAGAGGACTTGAAGCACTTACTGATGAAGATCAAAGACTACAACCTTCAGTATGGATTATACCTCAGCATAAAGAAAATAAAAATCCTCACAACTGGACCAATAAGTAACATCATGACAAATGGAGAAAACATTGAAGTTGTCAAGGTCTTCATTTTACTTGGATCCACAATCAGTGCTCATGAAAGCAGCAGTCAAGAAATCAAACGACTACTGCATTGGGCAAATCTGCTGCAAAAGACCTCTTTAAAATGTTAAAAAGCAAGAGACAGAAAGGGCCACATAAACCAGAGATTTCATCAGCCTGAGACCAGAAGAACTAGATGGTGCCCGGCTACCACCAAAGTAGAGAGCCCCAGATGGAGCAGGAGAAAGGTGGGGTGCAGAACTCAAATTCTGGTAAGAAGACCAGACTTAATGGTCTGAGACTGGAGGAACCCCAGAAAGCATGGCCCCTGGATTCTCTATCAGCCCAGAACTAAAACAGTTTCCGAGGCCAACTCTTCAGACAGGGATTGGACTGGACTGTGGGACATAAAGTGATACTCGTGAGGAGTGTGCCTCTTAGCTCAAGTAGATACAAGAGACTAAAACGGGCAGCTTCTGTCCAGAGGTGAGATGGGAAGGCAAAGAGGGTTAGGAGCTGGTTGAATGGACATGGGGAATCAGGGGTGGAAAGGAGAAGTGTGCTGTCACAGTATGGGGAGAGCAATTAGAGTCACATAACAATGTATATATAAATTTTTGTATGGGGAGAAAGAAAGTTAAAAAGCAAAGACGTCACTTTAAGGACTCAGATGCACCTGACCCAAGCCACGGTATTTTCAATTGCCTCATATACATGTGAAAGCTGGACAATGAATAAGAAAGACTGAAGAATGGATGCCTTTGAATTATGGTGTTGGTGAAGAATATTGACTATACCACAGACTGCCAGAAGAATGAACAAATCTGTCTTGGAGAAAGTATAGCCAGAATGCTCCTTAGAAGCAAGGATGGCGAGACTGTGTCTCACATACTTTGGACATATTATCAGGAGGGACCAGTCCCTGGAGAAGGACATCATGCTTGGTAAAGTAGAAGGTCAGCAAAAAAGAGGAAGACCCTCAACGAGGTGGACTGATACAGTGGCTGCAACAATGAGTTCAAACATAGCAATGATTGTGAGGACAGTGCAGGACTGGGCAGCATTTCATTCTGCTGTATATAAGGTTACTATGAGTTGGAACTGACTCAGTGGCACCTAACAACAACCAGAAGGTAGAAATGGGGACCCCCACCAGCAGATGCCCTAATCAGAAATGGCCTCGGATCACCGCCCAGGAGGAAATGAGGGGGGACGGTTGCTCACCTGGTTGGGGGTGGGCAAGCAGCAGGAGTAAGGCACAGAGCAGCGCTCGCGGCTGGGGTTGTCCTCCGAGCAGTTGAAGTACATGTTCAGGGACCAGTCCTTGTAGGAAATCCCTCCACAGCAGCTGAACTGCAACAAAGCCCAACCAAACAGGTTACAGATCACCTGCCCCACACATTGAGGTGACCAGCGGAATTGGCAGAGCAGCTGAAAGTCTATGGTCAGCTTCTACTTGTAACTTCAGGCTGTATTTAAATACAACCAGGAATCTTGAGCTCAAGCTTCTTAGAGTTGCCTTCATCAGACGAAATTTTTTAAATTTCCATTACTTTTTACGTCTTGCTGAACTTACACAGTGCTTGATTTTACCACTGTATATATTTTTTGTTTCACACATTCAACTATAAACTCCTTGTGGGCTGTTCCTGGTTTTGCAGCCCTGCATACAGAGCCTCGCAAAAGGAGGTGCTCAGACATACAGGTTGCAACAATTAAAAGATTAACTCTGAAAGCTTTTATCTCAAGTCAGAGAAAACACAGGAGGGGAATCTTCAGTATCATGGACCCATAATTACTCTGTGAGAGTAAATAGGGCCCCAAAGTAAGTGTCTGTTCACGGGGGGAGGGGGACTCAGCACTGATCTCAAAAACTTTAAACTTTAACTTTTGAATAGGTCATATTTTACAATCTGTCCAGTCCATCCCCTACAGGGAACTGCCATTTGTGATTTCTTATGCATCCTTTCAGATTCCTTTTGCAAATATGAATCTATATTCTTTCCTTCCTCTTTTTTTTTTTACACAAACGGTAGATTACTATATTTAGTGTCTGTATCCTTAAAAGTCTTTTTAAAGCACCCTGCTGTGTGTGTGTTTTGGGTTTTTAAAAAAAATTTTTTACCAAATCCCCTTCCCAGAATCCATTACCTGGCAGGTGATGAAGAGGCCCACAGGCCTGGAGGGCGAGGCGTCCCTTGAGATGTTGTCAGCTTTTACCTACAGCCTCCCAGACCACTAGTGACCCTACCACCCTTCACCCATACCTCCTTCTGGCCAAAATCAATGAGGTTCTGCAGATCCAGGTCATCTCTGTAGTGCACGATGGCATTGTTGATGATCTCGCTCACTTTTCCTCTTGCCTGCCAGAGACACAGGGGAGGAACTTAGGACACAGGACTAACCCCTAACTTGCTTCTCCCTGCAGAAATAACAGTAGGCAGTGCTTATCCATCTCTATGAAGACAGCTTTGAAATCAGAACTTAGTCCTAGTGATGGAAGATAGCCAGCCCCAAAGCCTATCCATCCCTGGGCCCTCAGGTCCCAGTGGGCACGAGAGCTGCTGGATCACGGCTGCTACCTCCTTGAGGGCAGCTCCTCTTTGTGGGCCCTCGGAGGCCAGCTGTTAATCCAGTTGGAGGGGAGGAAGCTGTGTTTGGGGTCAGAGGCGAGAGTCACATTTCAAAATAATCCAACATTTACCTACTTCTATTCTAATAAATATGACATTGGGCAAATCTGCTGCAAAAGACCTCTTTAAAATGTTAAAAAGCAAAGATGTCACTTTAAGGACTAAGGTGCACCTGACCCAAGCCATGGTATTTTCAATCGCTTCATATGCATGTGAAAGCTGGACAATGAATAAAAAAGACTGAAGAAGAATGGATGCCTTTGAATTACAGTGTTGGCGAAGAATACTGCATATACCATGGACTGCCAGAAGAACGAACAAATCTGTCTTGGAAAAAGTACAGCCAGAATGCTCCTTAGAAGCGAGGATGGCGAGACTTCGTCTCACATACTGTGGACACGTTATCAGGAGGGGCCAGTCCCTGGAGAAGGAGATCATGCTTGATCAGCAAAAAAAAAAGACCCTTAACGAGATGGACTGACACAGTGGCTCCAACAATGGGCTCAAACATAGCAACAACTGTGAGGATGGCTCAGGACCAGGCAGTGTTTCGTTCTGCTGTACATAGGTTACTATGAGTCAGAACCGACTTGACAGCACCTAACAACAACTACTACTACTACTACAGCATTCTACCAAGGAGCCCTAGTGGTGCAACGGTTAAGTGCTAGGCTGCTAACCAAAAGATCAGTGGTTCGAACCCACCAGGAGCTTCGTGGGAGAGATCTGGTGATCTGCTTCTGTAAAGATCACAGGCCTAGGAAACCCTATGGGGCAGTTCTACCCTGTCATGTAGGGTCACTCTGGGTCAGAATTGACTCGATGGCACACAACATTTGTCTACATAGTCTACCTCTACCCACTATTATCACAAAATGCATGTTGACTGACGCAAAGCAGAGTGAGTAAGCTTCTGTAGAAAGAGGCTTACTGAGCTGAGGCACTGACCTCTAGTGGACATAAAGAGAATTGCATCTCTCTAGACTCCACAGATCTCCCATATCATTTTAGGATTTCACTAAGCCAGAAAGACTAGGAAGTTCTGAATTAATTCAGTGGCTATCCCTTTCATAGTTTTCTCCCATGTTCTTTTCCTTCCTCCTCCACTGATTTTTCAAAGGTTCCTCTCCGTAGTCCTATACTCTGCCCCTGGCAATCATCTACCTTTGGGAGAGGAATTCTGGATCTTAGTTGCAAGGACTGTCAGTGAATGGCAGATCACTACCAAACACAGTAAACACTATTTAAAATCACGTTTCCTTTCCCCACTTCCTCCCCTCTGTTTACCCTAAGAAACGAATTTTTTTTTCCAATAAACAATTAAAAAAGGAAAAACAAAGAGACTCTTCTTGTTGTCTGTGGTCGGCTTGGTAACTGAATTCGACTTAGTCATTTGATATTAAAGTTTGTGGATTATTTAAACTTGGTGTTCATAAAGTTTACTTCCCCCTGATGTCTCAGACTGTCAGAGGAAAGCCCCTTATCATCTGGAAATCCTCTTTAAACATGGTGATTTTAAAAGCCATTCGTTCATTCCTGAGGAGAACATTTCAAAGCCAGATGCTTCTCAGGGGAAGTTCGCACTGGGGTTAATTAAGCAGGCTAAATGTGGGCAGGAACCTTCCCTTCCTCCATCTGGTTCACACCTGAGAAGGCCTCTTGGCTCCCAATTGATACCTGGTCTGAGAAGACGAAGCCCAGGATACCAGCAGCCAGCTGTAGCAGGAACACGACGGTAAGGCAGAAGGAGAACTGTGGGAGGAGGCAGGAGGAGGAGAGTCTGGTATCATTCTGGAGCACCCCTCCCAAGAGTGTTAGGGGCCACAGGCACTTCTTCCAGATGCCCCCCACATGGAAAAGACTGCCTCTGGGACACCGTCCAGGGTGGCCACCCTGTTCCTGGGTCACCTGGGGTTGAACTCTGCAGCGAGGCGTGGACGGCACAGGTCTTGGGGGTGGGAGATAGGAAACGGAAGCGTTGGAGGAATGGCACTTGTCTTTCCATCAGGGCCCCTGACCACTCACCGTCTGCAGGAGGCAGATGTTCTCGCGGAGAGATCCAATGCAGCCACAGAAGGTGAGCAGGAAGATGAGGATGCCCACCACCATCAGCAGGATGGCAGGGTCCAACGCCAGGGAGGCCAACGCTGTTTCTGGGGGAGGGGCCGTCCCTGAGTTTGAGCCTGCTGCCTACTGAGAGGGCCCCCAGGGATGGGGCAGGGGTGCCCAAGAACTGTTCTCTTTCCCCTGGTGGGGGGATCTCCAGCGCAGCTGGGCGAGGGCCACAAGGAGTTAGTGTCCCCTACCGTGGGAAGAACAAAAATGGGCCCAGAATAGTTTGTGGCATTTAACTTGAGGAACTAACGAAGTAAGAGCCTTTATTTCCTGGGTTTAAGAGAGGAGGGACCGCTTTTGCTCCAGAAAAGAATTAGAATAGCATTAGGCTTGCCAGCTTTGTGGATTCTGTTTCCCAGAGACTTTGTGCAGCCAAGTAGGAATGGAAGTTGAGTTACTCCACCACGGAGCTGGGGAGGGGCTAAAGTCCTTGGGTCCTCTTGCTCCTAGAGGCCTGCCTTCCTTCCCAGACACTTCCTGAGCCTAAAATGTAGGTGTATCTTACAAGATTCAGAGGGGCTCAGGGGAATCTCAGCTGGCATGGGTGGCCCAACCCTGTAGAGTTGGCCTCTAAGATTTTTTTTTTTAAATTGTTGTAATTAAATGAAGTTTATATTTCAAGTTAGTCTCCCATACAAAATTTTTTTACATACATTGTTATGAGACCGTAATTGCTCACCCCATTCTGCGACAGCACACTCCTCCTTTCCGCCCGATTCTCCATGACCATTCAACCAGCTCCTAACTCTCTCTGCCTTCCCATCTCACCTCTGGACAGAAGCTGCCCGTTTAGTCTCTTGTATCTACTTGACTAAGAGGCACACTCTTCATGAGTATCACTTTATGTCCCACAGTCCAGTCCAATCCCTGTCTGAAGAGTTGTCGGCCTCTAAGATTTGGCCTGAAGGAGGCTGCTGCCTTCAGCCCCAGAACTTATGTAAGAAGAAGTGTTTGAGGGCCAGGGCTAAGGGAGGTGGAGGAGGCAGGTGCACAGAAGAGCCCTGAGGGATGGAGGGGGACCTTTAGCTCACCTGCATGCTTCATCAGCCGAGCATAGATGCCCACGGCCACCGTCACCATGGAGATCACCTGTGCAGACAGGAAAAGGGCCAGACCATGAGATTTTGGAAAGCTGCGAGTAACCTTAAAGCGGAGTATCAGGAGGTGACCTCCAGGCCCGGAGGTGAGAATCTTTCTTCTTCGCAGTGATGCCACGGACAGTACCTGCCAGCGCTTTACCGTCCATGAAGTGCTTGTACTAATGTGATCTCATCTGATCCTCACACAAAACCATCTTGTGAGGCAGATATCCCATTTTACAGATGAGGAAATCAAGGCAATACAAGGTTAACACAGAACCGTGGTTAAGAACATGGGCTTGGGAGTGAGTCAAACCTGGGCCCGTGCTGGGTCAAATTCTGAGCCTCGGTTTCTGTGTCTGAAGATGGGAATTAAAAAAAAAACCCTACATCTCATTAAGATTACTGTGAGTAAAATAATGCATGGAAAGCATTTAGCACAGTGCCTGACAATAGACATTATCTATCATTTCTTAGAATTAACTTGTCCAGGGACACACAGAAACTCTGTGAAGTTCTGAATTCTAGTCCATCTACATCAAAGGGCCCGTCTGAGGAGGCTGCACACTCCCAGCTCTCTAACCCTCCGGGACGTCAATATGGTGTCAAGTGCAGGAGAAGACGTGCACACCAGTGTGAAAGAGTATGTGCATGAGTGTGTGTGTGTGTGTAAAACACTGGAACTGCCTCAGTCAACGAAGCTTTATCTTTATAAACCCCGATTCCAATGTGGAGGGATGGAGGAGTTTATACCGTTCCAACTTCCTGGTTTCTCCCTAAGAAAAAACCCATCAGAGACTACCAGGACTCCCCGCAGGGGCCTTTCCTGCCCCCAGGCCTCCAGGAGTGCAGTACAGCCCCAGCGTGCACCTCCCTCGGAAACCCTTTCTTCGTGCCCAGTCCCCAGGCTGGTGCTAAGCAACAACTGGCTGTCGCCATGGCAATAGTTGAGGCCAAGCTCTGGCTGGAGGGGGTTGTCAGCAGCAGGGACTCAACCAACTCAGTGGGAAAGGAGGTGGTTGGCTAGACCCCACAGTCCTGCAAGACAGAACTAGCTGGAAAGAGCCACCTTGGGGCTTTGGTAGGAGAAGGAAGCTGGGCCCCTATAATAGGTAATAGGGTCAGACTAGTCTCTTAATGGTGCAAACAGTTAATGCGTTTGGCTGCTAACTGAAAGGATGGCAGTTCAAATCCATCCAGAGGCATCTTGGAAGAAAGCCCTGGCGATCTACTTGCAAAAAATCAGTCATTGAAAACCCTATGGAGCAGAGTTCTACTCTGACATACATGGGGTCACCATGAATTGGACTCAACTTGATGGCCATGGCTACTGATAGCCCCTTAGGAGAGAGACATTTTTTCCCCCATGGGCTTCCTTTATAAAGGGCCTCCACCATTTGGCAGGGGTGGAGAAGACATTCAGGAGTAAATGAGAAACCCTTATCAAAACCCTGTCTTTCAGGACCCTTCTCTGCCTGGAGGCACAGCCCTCTCGCTTGGCCCTATCACTTGCCTCTGACTCAGGGCCAGATGTGTTATCTGCCTGCCCTCACTCTCTCTATCCAGGAGAGAGGGAGCTGTCTGCGAGTGGTGTGTGGGGCTGGAGGTGCCAGCTGGCTTCTTGTTCCACAGTACACCCGGGCTCAGGGAGCACGGTGAGGAGGTGGGGACACAGCAGGACACAGACCGCAGTCACCCCCAGGCCAGAGGGCATGGCCACTGACCAGAGTGACTGAGCCTCTCAGTCCACCCTTTAAACTAACCACAGCCAGTTACCGTTCTGAATCATTTTATGGAATTATTGAAAAATATGTATCTGTTCTTTATTTCTGTTGTTCCCAGGCTCCTCACTGTGTTTTCAAATGTTAAATTTTAACTAGGGTGTAAAACTTTCCACAAAGATGGTCTCTGATTAAATCCTAACAGCTAAAACAAGAAAGGGAAAGTAAAGAGAGGCAGCCTACCACAGGTTAACTTAATTCCATTTATGGGCCTGTCATTAAGCATATAGGAGCCCTGGTGGTGCAGTGGTTAAGTGCTCAGTTGCTAACCAAAAGGTTGGCTGTTTGTCATGGTTTGAATTATGTCCCCCAAAAAACGTGTGTACCAATTTGGCTAGGCCATGATTCCTGGTACTGTGTGATTTTCCTGTATGTTGTAAACCTGCCTCTATGATGTTAATGAGGGAGGTTGGGTGGCAGTTGTGTTAGTAAGGCAGGACTGGATCTACAAGACTGGATTGTGTCCTGAGGCAATCTCTTGAGATATAAAAGACAGAGGTGAGCAGTGAGACAGGGGGACCTCATACCATCAAGATAGCAGTGCTGGGAGCAGAGCCCGTCCTTTGGACTGGGGTCCCTGAGCAGAGAAGCTCCTAGTCTGGGGGAACACTGATGAGAGGGCCGACAGAGAGCGAAAGACTTCCCCTGGAGCTGAATTTGGACTTTTAGCCTACTTTGACTGTGAGGAAACAAACTTCTCTTCTTTAAAACCATCCACATGTGGTACTTCTGTTATGGCAGCACTAGATAACTAAGACACCGTTCAAACCCATGCATTGCTCCACAGGAGAAAGATATAGCAGTCTGCTTCAGTAAAGACTGCAGCCTTAGAAACTCTATGTCCTATAGGGTTGCTATGAGTTGGAATTGACGGCAACGGGTTAGTTGCACATACTCTGCCTCTATCTGTGGTAGGCAGAATAATGTCCCCCTGAAGATGTCCATGTCCTAATATCTGAAACTTGTGAATATTACCTTACATGGATAAAGGGATTTTGCAGATCAAGTCAAGGATCTTGAGAAGGGGAGATTATCCTGGTGGGCCTTCATATAATCACAAGAAATTTTATAATACGGAGGCAGGATGGCCCGAGTTAGAGAAGGAGGTATGATGATGGAAGCAGAGATTGGAGTGATGTGGGACCATGAGCCAATAAATGCAGGTAGCCTTTAGAAGCTAGAGAAGGAAAGGAAATGGATTCTCAGAGCCTCCAGAAGGGATGCAGCCCTGCCGACACCTGCATTTTGGCCCAGTGAAACCTACTGTGGACTAATGATCTCCAGAACTGTAAGAAAATAAATCTGTATTGTTTTAAGTCACTAAGTTTGTGGTGGCTTGTTACAGCAGCAATAGGAAACTAATACACTATCCAAGCCCAATCATCAACTACTATGTACAAGAAATGCAAATATGAGTGAGATATGGTCCCTGTCCTTAAGGAGTTTATACTCTATGTGTTCTATGGGGTGGAGAGTGGACAGGAGCATTTATAATCTAAAACAGTGATTTTCAATCTTGACTGCCCTTGGAATCACTCATGGCGGGGGAGGCGCTAAAAACTCCTGATGTTGCACCCCAAACCAAGCATATCAGAATCTGTGGCATTGGGATGCAGGTAACGGTAGTTCTTAATGCTTCCCAGGAGATTCCAATGCGCAGCCAAGGTTGAGAACCACAGCCTAAAGCACAATCGGCCAGCGATCTAGATCCAAATGCAGGCTATGTTAAAACCAAGATGAAGACTTTAATATGATCCTTAATATTTAATGGATCATTAACGCCGTCTCTCACCTGGCACTCACTGGCTAACTCTAAGATCCTGTGCTTCTGTTATCGAGCTGCCTCTTTCTCTCGGGGTCACAGCTTGCCCTTCCACACTTCCATTCCTGCCCCCACCTCCCACCCCGAATTCCTCAAAGCTACCGCCATTCCAAAGTTCGTGCTGCTGTTATTAGCACAGCAGTTTAGTGCTGAACAGAGCCTTACCAAAGAGCTGGGCCAGTCACCTCTTTTTAGAGATGATGAAACGGAGGCTCAAAGAAGAGAAACGACACTTGAGCAAGCGTACATGGGTGTGGTGGCAAATGTGGACCAAACCCAATTTTCCAACCTCAGTCCACTGCTCTTCCCACTATGTCAGTCTTCCCTACAAAATCCTCATAATATCCCCAATACCACCAATACCTCCTTTCATGATGAGGACAGAGATAAAGACAGGTCTCTCCTTAGGACGGCTTTTCACTGTCTGGCTGGAATGAAGCCTGGAAACGTGGAAAAGCTAGATACAGTTTTAAAAATAGCTGAAGCTAGCTTTTAGCAAAAGGCATGTTCCTGAAAAGTTGTCCATCAAATTATATAAAGTAATTTGCAGGAGCCAGTACCTTTATCCTTACGTCAGGTGAGTAATTGCCCCTGGGCTCCTTGGAGAAATGGCTGATTCTAGGAGCCCTGATGGCACAATGGTTAAGAGGTCAGCTGCTAACTGAAAGGTTGGCGGTTCGAACCCACCAGCTGCTCCTTGGGAGAAGGACCTGGTGATCTGCTCTCATAAAGATGACAGACTTAGAAAACCCCATGGGGCAGTTCTACTCTGTCACAAGGGGTTACTATGAGATAGAATTGATCTGATGGCACTCAACAACAGGACTGAGGCAGGAAACACACAAGATGAGCCTGTAGCATCTTGTAGTGCCATAAAGGAAAACAAAAACCCCATATTGTTGGGGGTATGCCAAAGGGACACAGGAGCCATCTGAAAGAGCTCCCAATGGCCAACACTGGAACAATTAGAGCAACAATATAAATAAATATTGTTATTACCAAAAATATAAAATAAATATCCATAAGCCCATGCCAATATAAACACATGATAGAATAAATAAATAAATGGGGGAGAAGAGACAAATCTCCTGTACAGAAGAATTCTGTCATGGATTGAATTATGTCCCCCCAAAAATGTGTGTATCAATTTGGCTGGGCCATGATTCCCAGAATTGTGTGGTTGGCCTCCATTCTGTGATTGTAATTTTATGTTAAAGAGGATTAGGTTGGGATTGTAACACCACCCTTACCCAGGTCACATCCCTGATCCAATGTGAAGGGAGCTTCCCTGGGGTGTGGCCTGCTACTGATGGTATGTGGGGACCTCATACCATCAAGAAAGCAGTGCTGGGAGCAGTGCGCATCCTTTGGACCGGGGTCCCTGCGCTGAGAAGCGACTAGTCTGGG